CTTTGAATTACAGGAACAGTCCCACATCACATTAATCACACATTGGACAGACGGGAGCCGATGGATGACCTTCGACCCGGTCTCAACCTCTTTCGTGATACAGGCTGCTACACCTTACAAAGCCGTCTCCATCCTTTGAATCAAGCGGCAATTAGTGGAACTAGCAACCTTGATGGTGTACCTGTTTCTTGTCACCCGAAGAAGACAAGTGGTCAACGCTTTAAGCTACTGGTTTCGTAAATCACGGCAATAATTAACACTAAGACCGATAGGTAACCGGTAATTTGAGGGTGGAAATGTTGCAATTTCTACACCCCTCGCGGCTGTTTCTTGGCAACATTTTTCCGTGGGAGAACGGGCATAAAAACATCCCAGTTTGTAGGATTTAATGGAAGAAAAACTCTTGTACTGGTTAGTCTAGAATTTAGGATCTAGAATAGAACGGTGTAGAGTTACAAGCACGCTTCGATAATGGGATAATACTGGAGATAAATACATACGAATTTCGGCACGCAAAGGTTTATCCACCCGGGTTAACGAACTGAACCATTTAAGATGCTAAATTAAATTAAAAAAATAGCCCAAAGCGCTTATCGAACGTCGACATAAAAGAAGCATTGGAGTGTGCAAGCTGCCATTATAGTCACCACCATATTTCTATAAACGGGAGGGGGAAAGAGAGAGAGGGAGAGAAAATTTTTTTTAGCCTAGACGTCACCCGGCACAATTACGTGGCACGAGAAGTAGTAAATAGGCGAGAGGACAAGTTAGCTTTACCTGTCCGAAAAGGTGTCACAGCAGAAAGCACTTGGCAGGCGGGTCTCTCAGGCTGTATCTATTCTCATTATTAGATACACAGGGGAAAGATCGTAACCATTCCTCATCCGACTGCATAATGTCGCCGGTGGCAAAAGTTCGAACGTTATAAAAGCCCAAATCAATTCTCTGGACGACCTAGTGAGATCCGCTACGACCCTCTGTGGACGGACGATATTTGGTTTCTATAGCAAGCATTTGACTTTGCTTTAAGAGCCAGAAGTGGTTTCGAGATAGGAGAGCTGTAAAAACTCTGCAAGGCCGTAATGGAGAACATCTAAAACTCTGAAAGCTTCCGAATAAAATTAAGAAACAATCCTGACCCGTATGACCTTTCTAGGATATAAGTCAAGCGCGTTTTATAAGGAGCAAATTACAGAGGTGTTTTCGTAATTGATAGAAAGCGTAGAGGATGCAAAAGAAGGGGTGTAAATTCATAAAAAGGATAACAGAAGTGTATAAATACGGCGCGTGTAACAAAACAAAGATTCTTCCCCGGAGATGGAAGAATCGACTAACAAACCCAGTACAAAACAACCAGAGATAAAGCTTGATAATAAGACGCGCGTGAACAAATTACCGACTCTCTTCGCCCCTTCTCAACTTCACTCGCTCCTCCCTAATTGTTGCCGACAAAAATGAGCGTCGAATTTCAAATACTAATCAGTTCGGAGGGATTTCTTCCCTGTGCAACGAATCGAGTCCCACAGGGGGCAATTCTCGACACAAAAACACCTTCCTAATTAGGAGAAGTTGTGAGGGATACGGATTTCCTCGGTGACGTCAGCGTTTCGACGCCCAAGACGTGCTCGGCCGTCACTAGAGTAAGTGTGTGTGTGTTTGTATATATGTATATATAAAGCTTGGAGATAGGATAAATTTTAGAGGAAATGAGAGAAAACCTCAAATCCCAGTCGCCACTCTCTTACACCAACCCGAAATCAGGATTTACTGGACCCGTTGCCATGGCTACAGCGGAGTTTAAAGGGAGAGTCGGAGGGGAATGGACCTCCCGGATAGATAAAAGGGGACAGTTCTCTGCATCTGATGAATGATGCCAATGTCACGCCTGGGATTATTACCGATGACGTCAGCTGTACCGAAGAGGCGAGTTAGGATTGTAATCGAGGAATCAATTCCTAGTTTCCTAAATGAAAAAACCGGGAGGAAACTTCTGGTATGAGAAATTTGTATGGTAAAGTTAGCGTGTGGTTGCACGTTTAACGTGGCCTACGCCTTATATTCTTGTAGGATTGATATAAAAGTCGGCTAGAAAGCCGGCGGCGATGTCGTCGCTTCGAATGCCAAAGTGGTCTACTCGCTTTTATCGATAGATTGCGTTTTATCGGGGCTCAGAGTGATTTTCCAACCGACTTATCCCCAGAACGAATTCATAGGCTGGATGTCCGGCCGAACACAAAAGAAAACCGCGTTCATTTCCATGCTTCCAATAGAAAGCCGGCGAATTCAATCAAAGGCGAGAGGGTGTCATTCATAAAAATCCCTACCCCTCGCCCAGACAGTCCAATCTCCCCCTTAAGAGGGGGGAGACCGTGCTGGATTTGTGCTCCACTGCCGAGCACCGGATTCCTCCCCCTCTTCCCAACCGTGTTGTCAGAGTAACCACACAGTGTCCCTGCTGCGGAGTTACTCCTCGTTATCAGCCAGCACACAGACGGCCAATATTGAGGGAGGCGATCCGACCACACGAGCTGATGATTCACCCTCCCTCCTCTACAACCCTGACACACACCCAAATAGAAAGAACGAGAGAAGCAGTCTTTCTTTAACGATTTAGCCATGTGTACAAAAACTGTTTGTGTTTCTTCTTTTCGCTCATATTTTTTCGCCCTCCAAAAAATGACAGACGAAGCAAAACTTTGAGATTTACTCTTTTATTTCTTTTTCTTATTTAACTCTCGCTCCCTTTGTTAGTCATCCGAGTAGAAAACAAATGTCCCTTTCGAAAATTGTATTTAATTAAATTTCGTCTACTCCAAGTTGATCCCTTAAAACAATCTCCAAAAATTTCCCTTAATTCCTATATATAATCTTCTAAAACTGTCCGTAATTCTTACCTAAATTATTAAATAATTTCCCCTAACTCCTAGCTTTATCCCCAAAAACTTCCCGTAATTTCTAGTGAAAATCACTAAAATTTTCTCATAATTCCTATTCACAATCCCCAAGAATTTCCCTTAATCCCTAACTTTATCTTCAAAAACTTCTCTTAATTTCATACCAGCAATTTTCAAAAATTTTCCTTAATTACTGCTTAAAACAAATTCCCTTAAAAAATCCCAAAAACTTCCCTAAATTAGAGAACTTTCGCACCAAACATATACAAAAAAATCCCTAAAAAGTATATTTCCCTTTCACTTATCTTTCTCACTTTAACAGAATAAGGGAAGTTCAGAAGAAGAAGAAAGAATAAAACTAAACTGAGATTTTTATTTTTTATATTTTGCCTTTTTGGAAAAGTAGAAAAAAGAATTTGACTTTTACTCGAAAACAGCTTTAATACAGCGAATCTCCTTTTAAATTGATGAATAAAGCTCAATTTGGTTCTTTCTTCCATCGTTGGAAAGTACCTAAAAAACAAGCTTTCGCCAACCGTAATGGCGACCTACCAGCACCTAGCGGAGAGAAGAAGAACCAAAAGGAAATAGGAGAAAAACTGGAAATGACACTTTCCATGATGGAAGACTTGGGTTTTGTTTTGTCTTCTCTCTTTATATATTTCTTGTCCAGAATAGGTTTCTCTCGGATAACGACCTGATAGAAAGAAACACATACACACTCCCTCTCTCTTTCTCTCTCTCTCTCCTTCTCTCTTCACTCCGATCGTGTCCAGTAGGAAATTCGATAATGCGTTTCTCCAGTAATGCAACACGTTGTCCACCCCTCTCGGAAGGGGGAGACAGGGGTCGAAATCAATTAGATTTATCAATTAAAAATGGTTAATTGCCACGGCTGTCTCGACTCGAGTTATGGATGAACGTAGTTTCCGTGTTCTGCGGTTTACCGAGTTATATAGGAAGAGATCGAGATAAGGCGTATCCCTCCTCTCATCGCTCACTGCAACAATTGTTGACACTTCTCTCCTCCCCTCTCCCGAAGACAAACCCTTTCGTTTGCAGCTGCCACAGATGTGCAAGCATTCATAATTATTTGCACGGAGGGAGGTTTGTTTCTTTATCGACAGATTCGAACCCCCGACTCTCAAACGTCCATTGCTTTAATCGCGGTTAATGCGGGTTGTTAAGAATAAAGACGTGTGTATTTTGGGGGGGGGTTGCGTTGGTGTATTGTACCCGGCGAAGGTCGGTGCGCGTGACAAAGGGGAGAAGGAACCATCGTCCATCTATATTGTTGCCGGCGACTGGGACGTCGGTTGGAGCCGACGATTTCCTGCCCCGGGCACTGGTGCTTTCCAGCGCATTGGTCTCCAACAAGTCGGTCAGCCGAGCGTGTTCCATGCATCACAGTCCGATGCGGGAGTGCTGAGTTGCAGGAAGACACCAGGCGAAGCAGACCTCAGAGCCCGAGTGTGGTGGATGGCAAATTGACAGCTGCCACGGACGATGGAGAAAGGACATGAATACACATTTTCCGGACCGATGGAGGCCGGCGGGACGAGAAGCGCTATCTGGCCCAACCCCTCGACTGGGGAAAAAGGGTGACTTATGAAGTGTCCAAACTGTCCTTTGTCACGTCGCCTTCCTCCTTCCACCCTCTTTTTTTTACAGCGCCCAATGTTTTTCTGCTTCCTCTTCCAATACCAGACGTTGGCCATTTGTTCGACCCGATAGATGGGTTCACGGTACATTCTACGTAATTTACAAACGATGTTTTTAGGGATTTTTCCCCATCTTAACTCTCCGGAGCGTGTAAAAAAACGTAAAAAAATAGGAGCGCGCGAATATTTAGCAAAAATCGCGATACTCGAGTAATTCGATAATTTTAAGATTTAGAGCGCGAAGATGCCACCCCGGGTGTAAATTAATAGTAGCCATCCGAAGCCGAATAATTGTGGCATTTTTATGGGGGGAAGGAAGAGAAGAGCGAGCGCGGAGGGTGGTTTGTGCCGGAAAGCAAAAATACTCTCCGGTGAATGGCAAAGCGACTGTGCCGCTTTGCCATGACGCACACAAAGAACGCTGCGGACGCATACAGAGTGGCGAGCGGCTGTGACGAGGCTATGGAGTGTTGATTGCGGTAAGAACCTCAGTTCCACCGAGAGTCGTCGGCCAGTGTGTTGCTCCGCCACAACCACCGAGTCAGCCTCCACGTGAACCACGGAGCGTTGTCAGTGCGCCACTCCATGCATCTGTCCCCGGAGTTAGGTGGCGAGAGGTCCGACAGAATGACGGACTTCCTGCTGCCGGTGGAGAGGACCCTGACCGAGGTTTTGGGAGAACATCCCGGCGAACTGACCCAAACCGGCAGTCCCAATTTCGTGTGCTCGATATTGCCCTGTCATTGGAGGTCCAACAAGACTTTACCGGTGGCCTTCAAGCTGGTGGCCCTGGGTGAGGTGTCCGATGGCACCCTAGTAACCATCAGGGCAGGCAACGATGAGAATTACTGCGGGGAACTGCGTAACTCCACGGCGGTTATGAAGAACCAAGTGGCCAAGTTTAACGATTTGAGATTCGTGGGAAGGAGCGGAAGAGGTGAGTCAGTTTCGGTTTTTCTTTCGGCACGTGCTTATCAACTCGATACTCTTTTTCCCCGGTCCAAATTGGCCTTTACCAATTTGTCGACGCGCCAATTTAGTTTCGATCGCGAAACACGCGCCGTCTCTCAACACCTCTCGTCTTTACTTTCTTCCTTTTCTCCCCTTTTCCTCCCCCTCGTCTGACTTACCACACACAAAACCAATATTTTTAAAACCGTGACAAGATGTAAATTAGGCAGCTCGTATTCTTCTAGCATTAAATCATAAAGCATCGGTTTAACTGCTGTAAAACGGAAACTTTCCACCCCACAAAGTTATATATCATTCTTATCTACATCTAAAATTTCTCCTGGATTCTAAATGCCTCCTTCTTTAAGCCTGTGAATCCCCCCTCTTTTAATGCTCTACTTCGCAGACTGGGAGATTTATAAAAAAAAAAATATCCGGCACCCCCGTTGTAGCGTATTAAATAAATAAGCAAACACGGGCGCTAGTTTGTTATATCGGGTGTTTTCTTTTTATTATTATTTTCCTCGAGCGGATAAGCCAAAATTTCGCGAAGTGTCTGCTACGTAATCCCGCTGATACGTTGCTTAATACCCCTTTTGACACTCTTCAAGATAGATGAGATATAAAAGAATGGATAAGGCGTCATATTGTCAACAATAATTGCCGCGCGGAATGACGTATGAGTACCAACATTAAGCGGGTCTTCATCTACTTCGGGGGTAATTTTCTTGACCGCAAGATCAGACAATCGTGACATCGGGCGGTTTCCTGTCTAACCCTGTGACACCTGAACATCCGGTGTCTGCTAACACTCAATGGGGGAAGAAAGACGGCTCCCGTTAATGATAACTTTCTCACCGATTTATTCCCAGGCCACTATGGCTTGTCGGGGGGAAAGGAAACACACACTCGCTGGTCACATGACTAGTGTGCAGCCCTAAAAGAATTATTATCCCTCCCCGAGGGTCGCCGCTTCGGGAAATCTCCAGTGGTTTCTGGGGGTAGAATCGGTAGCGTCGCTAGGGGGCGAATGTTATCCTATGTATTAAAACCTTGCAGGATGGTGATTTAAAATGAATATAATTTAAAATTTGGAATAAAAAAACAAAGTTTAAAAACGATTATTTAATGATTTAAGATGGAGTAGAAACGAAAATGATTATTTAAATCCTAGTAGTATTAGGATTTTTGGAGGTGTTTTCTTCTACCGTCGCGATCGATGGCGAAACTAGCAAAAATCCATTTTCTCCCTTTTTAGACGGTAGAAAACTTTTAATTTGGTCCATCCGGACCTTGGCAGGAGTTGACGAAAAGGAAAATGACAAAAGTATTTCCACTAGTTCGAGATTAATCCTCCGACGAGAGTTGGAAAGTGAAAGAAGAGGGGGGAAAGAGAAGGAGGTGGAAGAGGAGGAGGAGGGGAGGGAGGGAGAGAGGGCGGATAAAAAAACCTCCGATCCTGATGAACACCAACATCACGAGTTGGAGATGTGCAGAGAAAACGGGTCGGTCATCATCACAGTCCCGAGGGGAGGGTGCGAGGGATGGAATTGGCAGGAAGTGCAAGGTAGAGCGTTGATTAATGATGATTAGGCCTACAGCAATATCAATCTGCCATCAGCGAAAGCTTGCTAGCTAATATTCTTTCCTTTGGATCTCAATAATCGGGTCTCCTCTAGTCAGACAGCTATCTAAATTAATCACCTCCGCCCTTCTTCCTGCAAAGCAGAAATGTGAATAAACGGATGACAGCGGCAGACTTTAAACTCCTGCAAAACACCCTGCAAGGTGGCGAAAGTTTTACCTTATTGCGTCCTACCCCCTTAACGACTCTTTTCCCAGATGGGTTCACTACGACGGCGCCTGCCCCCCGTATTCGAACCCTAACGGGTGTTGGTGATTAGTGCAGGTCACTCGGACGGAGGTTCCTATCGTCTTCCTTCTCCATTACGGGGGTTTGCAAAGAGGGGAGGAGGAGGAGGAAGAATACCCTATCGTGGTGGAAACACGGCGAGATGTATTTTTGCATTTCTAGCATTAATGGCGAATGCCCGAAAAAAAGGGTGAACGGCCGCTTCGACAGCTTTGTTCCTGAATGCAGTAATTAAAAGTGACGAAATGTGGCATTAACACAATAAATGCGCGTCCTTGTAACGCTTCAGCGTGCTTACTGACCTGAAAGCTAATTATTTTGAGGGCTGATGCGAGGAGAGAAAAAATTTCTCGCTCCATTGCTTCGTATTTTGCCATGTCGCTCGGTCGCATCCAAAAATATCCTGGTCGGGAAGAAGTCAAAAATCTACTAGTAAAAAAGGGCGGAAGTACGAAATTTCATTTGATATTTACTTCAGCGAATGGCCAAATATATCCTAAATTAATAAATATTCACATTCTATTCTTTTAGCGACGTCCAATTGCTTTTATTTTAGAACTGGACAAATTACGATGCGAATTAGTAAGGTGGAGGCACTACTTTAAAGGGATGTAATCATTTTAAATTCGTTTGTACATACATAAATAGCCTACTAATTAATAAATATTCAAATTCTAGTGGTTTATCCTCCGTTTCTAGTGGTTTAGCGGCACTCAATTATCTTTTTCAGTCAGTTTTTTTTTTAAAAGAACTGACCAAATTGCTATGCGAATTAATGAAAAAGTGTCACGATGAAGGAACGATTTTAAAGGGGCGTATCTTACGGACATTAAAGTAGTTAAGAAATCAAGTTGGGGGTTAAGTAAGGCGCGTGGCATCCATCAAATAAATGCCTGAGAGAAATAAAGTCGCGACAAGGCTCAGCTTACAAGAGTAAGCCAAGGGAAGACAAGACAATCTTTGCCAGCAGCCAAGTCAATTTTCGTGGCTTGTGGATTATTGGGGTCTGAAAGGTTTTCACGTTCTCCTCCAACTCCTACTTTCTCGAAGGGAATTTGGTTTCGCTGATTTTTATCGAAACCTTTCTTCTATTCTCGTTATCCGACCGGCTTGCACTCGCCTGTTGGAAGACGGAAATAAATAAAAAAAAGGCTCTTTTGATCCCCTACTGCGGTTTGGATTTACCTGTATCACAATCGTTTCCTACCTTTATCATAAATTGGCTTACTTTCCTATAATTTAACATTTATTTTCTGTTGACCGTATGTTTGTCTGCCTACCAAATACGCTTAAATCTATCCTTCGTAGGCTGGTTTAGGTTTTATTTTTAAGAATTTGCTAATAGCACTCTCAAGATTTTCGCTTCTCGCCTCGAGTTCTTCACAAATATTCGATTTTTTTGGAATTATTTTCGTCGTAAATTCGAAATTTCGCTTTAATTTATGACGGTTTTTGTTATTTTTTTCGTTATTTTCATTTAAACTTACGAAATATATTTTCTTCACGCAAAATTTCCTGCGAAACCCGATTTATTTTGACACTGGAAGCATTTTTTTTTCATCCGGTAAACCGGGATTAAATTACAATTGTTTAAATAGAAATTCATCTATTCACTTAGCGATTTCGATTCCCTATTTAACGATTTAGATGAACGATAACGTTAAATAGGGGTGTCAAAACCGGTAAGGAATTATTAAATACTGTAAATTTAGTATGAAACCCGATTTATATTGAAACCAGGCGCTCCTTTCTATCAGGTAAATCAGGATGTAAATTATAGTTTCCTGTAAACATTTACCTCTTCACTTAGCAATTTCCATGCCCTTCTTTAACGATTTAGGGAGCAAAATCCTTGACGGTAAACGGTACAAAAATAACAAAAAACCTCAACTTTACATAAATATTTCACGTAAAACCCACTAATTTGATGGTACAGAAGCGTAAACCCGTATTTAAAATTACAGTTTCTTATCGAAAAATTCGCCTCCACTTAGTGCTTTCGATGCCCGTTTTTTAACGATTTGGAGGGAGAAAATTAACAAATAAAGCTTATTTTCTCCTAAAATTTCGCATAAAAACCCCGTAATTTCGTTGTGAACAGAAGGGCATTTTCATCAGATAAACCATGCGAAGAAGGGGTTACGAGTGGTTTATTAATAACTATCGAATGTTCACCTCTTTCGATAGTGCCAAAGGCTGTAAAGCCTAAGACCATTATTACGTCTACTCTGCATAAAGAGTTTGTGCTCCTTTTTTTATTTTTTTATTTTATTTCTTCTTTTTTTATTTTCGGATAATCGCCTTTTATGCAACGCTTCAGGTCCTCTCAGGTATTCGTTCCTCGAGCCATCTACTGTATCTGGACTCGACTTAATATCTCTAGCTTTTGGTCTTTTGCAGAGAAAGTAGATATTAAACGTACAACGACCCTGCGCTCATTAAGCTTACAAAACCCTAATTGTCTACCCGAGATGATTTGGTGGTCAGGAAATCTTGTTTTTTTTTTATTTTATTCTTTTTCCCCTATTTGGATCCTTCTGGTTGACCCAAATCCTTTATATATATCGAATTAGGCTTTTCCTTAATTATCGCTCCACGTGTAATTAACGTGGAAGTGGGGGAGGGGGACGTGTTTAACGCACGTACAGACATACACACGCGCGTAATTTCGGTTCTAGCGGTTTAATTATTTGTCGACGACCCTCTGCTAACGAAAGAATTAAGTAGAGAGGGTAATGTTTCTCGGTCCTTGATCCAATCCTGGTCGCTTTTCGGAGGGGAAGTTTGTGTGTGTTAAATCATGCTTTTTCTGCATTCGATGATGATGATGATGATGATGATGATAGGAGGTGTTTTAAATATCAAATTTACTTTTATCAGTTTTTACAAGGGTAAGCGTGTTCTTCCAGTTAATGATGATGATGAGAAGTGCGTTAAGATCTTACACTTATCCCTTTGGGTTTTTGAAGGGGGATATTGTGTTAGATATTGTTTTCTACAATTGATGATGACGTGATGTGTCCTAGCTTTATCCTTATCCCTTTTTATAAAGTGAAGTTTGTATTAAATAGTGTTTTCTACGGTTAAACATGTGTTAATATTCCAGGCTTGTCCCCTATCGTATTGCGTTAGATGTTATTCTTTTTTGAAGAAGAAGATGATGATGATGCTAAAAGATATACTAAGATTATAAAATCATTTAAATAATGTTTGAAGGAAGAAATATTAAACGATATTTCTTAAGGTTAGAGGTAATAAGAGGTGTGTTTACATGCCACGTATTATCTTTTGGAAGGGGAAAGTTTGTACGAAACAATAATTCTCTCACCGCTGATAATAGTGAAGCTTGTCGATGTACTGTATCTTCACTACTATATTTTCCTCGTTTGTTTTTACAGGAAAGAGCTTCACTCTGACAATCACGGTCAGCACCAATCCTCCCCAAGTGACCACCTACGTCAAGGCTATCAAAGTGACCGTGGACGGACCCAGAGAACCCAGAAGTAAGACCAGTAAGTTTTTATTTTTGAATATATATACATATATATACGCGTATATATTATTTTATATTTACCCCGAGCTGTAAAACAAATTATTGATTTATCGCCGTTTCCTCCACGCCACTTTCGGTCACGTAACAGAGCGTCACGCATCGCGTGTAGCACGTTACGCAAATGTACGGGTAGAAAATTCAAATTCGTGACATTTCCCGGACAAATGAGTATCATCTTCACGTTTTTATTGCCCATGTATCACATGACCCCCGACACGGGATTATTACTGGCAATCGAGTCTGTCGGTTCTCCACCCATTTAAGAACCCTCCCCCCTCCCGTGCCCGGGTTTTTTTCGCTAGGTCACGTGTTTTCTCATGGTCGCTCATGTGCAGCACCTGTCCGTGTTGTCGATTATTCTACTTTTATTTATTTATTTTTTTCTTGTTCTTCTGCATTTAATCGTGCCAGATTATTAATTCGGAAAATTGGGCAAGAGTTGACGCTCTTCCACGCTCTACACTTCTAGTTTTTTACTTATTTATTTACTTATTTGTTCGATTAAACGGGTAAATTTTAACGTTAACGTCTGGTTGCATAAATTTGCGCGAGTTTCAATAATCACGAAGTGTTTCGGGGGGAGGGGAGAGGAAGCGCGCAATAAATTGTAGGAACCCGGTTCCGAAAGGAAGCGTTTAGGAAATGAAATCAGGAGACAAATGACACTTCTGTCTATCACGTGACTGGCAGACATTTATAAGTAGGAAAGACGGGGGTGGTGTTTTAGTTTGGCGCGTGACGATTTCCCTCTTCTCTCCCCGAATGGGGGTGGAAGAGAAAAAAGAAAGAAAGGGGCCGCCAAACCGCGCCGAATTCCGTGCGACATTTTTACGGTGGAGATTGCAATTTGTCGGTCGGACGCTCATTAGGAAGGACGGACAATGAGAAAAGCGCCGCTTAATGTAATGAATCGCATTGTCGAGATACAGGTAGCTGCACTCGAATGAATTAAAGGGGGGCGGAACGTCGTGGGCGGCGGAAAATGCAGACAAAGCCAGGTTTTGTTACGAAGGAAGCGGGCCGAGCAGCCATTCTCAGCATCATTTGCATTGGCTCGTTCTCCGTCATCGCCTCTGGGAGGAGGAAGAACGCGCGGCGGGCCAGTTTTTGGAAAGAGTCGGGTGGGCCGCTTAACTAAGGAACGTTGGACGAGTTTATAATTCATCCGATGCCAAATTATTTATCGAGAGAAGGAGGAGGGAGGAAGGAGTAATCGAACCCGTGTGAGAGGATCAAAGTAAAGAGGAGGTATTTGCGCGACAATCATGCAGATGGAGTGGGATGGAGAGAGTCGAAAGGTCCCGTTCTACACGGTCAGAGATATAGCCAAGACAATGAGACGACAGAAGTTTCGCTTATCAAGGATCAGAAGAACAGATGCGGGACGGAAGGATTTCCTGCGTGACCCTGCATATGTTAGCATGGGAATTTGCATGGTCGTTTGCCGATAAAGGACGGCAGATCCGTGTTGCAGAGAGACGAGAGGAGCTATAAAAAGGTGAAGGGGAAATAATAGGAAGGCCGCAGAATTACCATTCCGATGGTGACGTCGGCCGGATATGGAGGAAATCCCTCTGATTTGTTTACATCTTATTGCACTCGCTTCCGTCCAATGGACAGAAGCCTCTGAAAAAGTTTTATTCGTGCCCGCTCCACGTTGCATTCCCCCCTACGAATCTCCAACGGAGGTGACTGTTTTTCTTCATATTTATCCACCCAATTCCTCCTGAAATTTCGTTAATTTCCGAGCATCTTCGGGTAGCCTACCCAGTACTTTTCGCTTAACGACACTCTATTTTGCATCCCATAATTAAGGGTTCTTATCCTACTATAAGCTAGAACCTATAGAGCGACAACCCTAAGGAAATCCCCAAATTTTGAGCTTTTTTAAAATCGATTTTATTGGATTATGAGCATGGTTATTGAAGAAGTCAAGGAGCTTAGGAGTTTTTTTGTTGCACTCCCGAGGAAACAATGCCTTGTTTAACGTGCAATTGCTAATTTTTCGGAGTCGTGGGTTCGACAACCGCAATGTCTGTCTCCAACTGAATGGAGTAACAATGAAGAATGGAGATCAAACCGACTCATTGGGAGCAAAAAGTCGAAACCATTCTACGCGGTCACTCGGTCGACAATTTTAGAATTCGGCTTAATCTCGAGGGATTATAGAGAAATCTTCCGCTCTGGGGTTCTTTTTTTTGAAGAAAAAACCCCACTCTTTCCGCTCGTTGAACACTGCGATGGGTGCAACTCGACGGGAGGTGAAAAGAAGGGATTCGTTCCGAGTTAGGATCGCGAAACCCCGACTTTTCCGGGGTTCCAGCGCAGAATTTGATTGGATTAGAAGATGGCAGGATTCCTTTAACTCATTAAAATTTACATTTCGTGTTATAATTTATGCAAATTTCCACTCGGAATATATACACGTGACTCCCCGAACTTGCTTTCCATCACTCTTTCTTTAGTCAATTGGCAGAAGTTCGATCGGAAATTAAGAAATTTCGTACGACGTTCGACCTGTTGGAGGACCTCAAATTGCCTAGTGTAAAATTCCGCTTTAATTTACCTTTAAACAAATTATCCGAATTGCATTCACCCCCCTTCTCGGTGTGGCGTAAAGAACAACGGAAAGCGCTAGCAACCTACATTATTGTTTTTTCCCCTCTTCTGGGTTGTTGGATGGTAGAAAAGGACCCGACTCGTCTCTCTCGAGTCCGATAACCGAGAAGGAGCCACTCCCTCCTTCAGGAAGAGGCGGAGCAGAAGGAAGTAAAGGAAATTGTAGGGGCACTTCGGTAATTGCTATGGTTGTGACTAGCGAGTTGCGGGGAAGAAAGAAGGAGAGAGGTTCGAGGTCGACACCAAAATTAGCGCCTCTGCCATTTCTTTAGGGGGGAGGGAGATCCCCGCGGGGGAGGTAGCGCGAAAGGTTACTCCGTGTCTTTGTGTGTGTGTGTGCGTGTACGTGTGCGAGGATGGAAAAATAATAGGTATTTACTTACGGGAACCCGCTCGAAAGTCGGAACGTTGTCGTGTCAATTGGGAGGGTGGACGATCTGCCTCTTTACTAATCACCCTTCTGGCCTGTTAGATGTCAGGTAACAACAGCTGGCGAGCGAGACAATCAATCGAACGGGGCAGTGCGCGTGCAAACCACCAAACTGCGATCGCTTTGCCACTAAAAGGTGGCGAGCCCGAAAGACGGCAAGTCGAAGAAAAACACAAATAGGGAAATCCCTCTTACGGATTCCCGAACACGATTCTCTTCCTAAACTTAACTTTCTTATGCGATGCGACATTTCTGGAATTAACATTTGCTCATAGGCACCACTCTTTTACTTTTTGATTGTCTGACTCTACAAATTCAACCCTACAGTTGGTAGCATTTTAAAGAATTCTTTTTTTTAAATTCTTAAACACATTATTCGCTACTCTTGCCTCGATTTTTGCTGTTTTTCCCCCTCCGAATATATCTAATTCTCCATCTTTTGGGGATAGATAGATCCACTTTCTGTTAAAAGGAGGATTTGCCACCCGGAAGTCCTTCAAAGATTTTTGTCAAATTTAATTTAAATTCGAAAGGAATCATTTCGTGAGGATTACACAACATGTAGGCGGGTAAATAAGTCGGAATATACAGTAAAAATATTCAAATTTGGTGACGAATTCGAATCTAAACAATCGTATGTTGTGATGGAAGCGGGGGGTTTTCAGAAAATACGACAAATAATAGTTCGACCGCAGGAAATGCGGTAATCTAGTGAAAGTGAAGTTGTCGCAATTCGCAGTGTCACGCTGAAGCAAGCACCAAGACATTACGTGATCCGCGGGGGAAGAAAATTAGTAATCAAACTGTGGCCACCGACGGGTCGCCTTCGTCAAGCTTGGCTTGTCGAGACCATCCAAAAATTACGGATAACGACCCGAAATGACCACCATTACCTGCTTACTAGCTGTAACGGACGTCGTGCTGTTTTTCTGTCCTTCTTTAGAGGCTGTGGGCCGACACTCTCAACCATAACGATTGTACCACGTTTACAGTGATTAACTGTCGCTCTTGAAACTCTTTCCACGCTTTTCTGACTCCTGTAAGAATTACCAGGTTTTAATTTTTAACAATAGAATCGACTACGAGTAGGCCTTTGTCATTCCAGCAAAATTGCTCATAATTTCCAACAGAGAACTGCTAGTTAAGTAGTGTTCGAATTTTGGACTTATTTAGACGTTAAAAGGAGGTTTTTCTATCGAAATTCCCTCTTTTTAACGCTCGATTTCGATAAGGCGAAGTACCGTACAAAACAACTTGTACCCGAACTTCGTAATTATGAATTTCTATCGATAAGGAGCGTAAATTTTAAATTTGATATCGTTAAAGGAGCACTAAAACTCTAAATATCGTTTAAGTTCGTATTAAGGAGAGCCAGAACGGAATTTTCTATCGTTAAATCTTATTAAGGACCATCAAAATTTTAGCTTTTACGTCGTTACTTTCGTTATGTGAGTGATTTTTATACGTGCTTTTCGTGAATTTCACTACTGTATCACACTCGTTCGTGTACCACTCGAGTACTTCAAAATTCTAATATTTTGATGCTTCTTAATGACGTAGAACACTAAAACTCTAAATATCGTATAAGCTTGCGTTAAACTAAACTTGTTAAACCTCAAGGGACATCCAAAGATCATTCCTATCGCTGCTTAACATATCCGAACTTTAGCACTCTGACTCATGACGCATATATCATTAAGGAGCCTGAAAATTCTAATATTTTGACTCTCCTTAATGATATACGGATATTATGAAATACTGAAACTCGTGTTACGGAGCAACAGAACTCCTCGTGTATCGTGTGGTGCTCCTTTACACGATACACGTTACAAATTTAGTTGGGTTCTGGTGTTCCTTATTCATATTAAGTTACTCCTTAACGATTAAAACATACTCAGGAGCGTCAGAATCCTAAATTTTGCATATTCCTTCACCACTGCTCCTCGGAACACTGGTATTAAGGAGCATGAAAATTCTAACATTTTGGAGGCTCCTTAACGAAGCATTATGAGGTCAAATCTGTTAAAATTCCCGACAAAACACCGAATTATTTTAATTGCAAAAGTGCCCGGACCTACTTAAATTCCGAATTCAAAAAAAAAAAAGGATCCAACAAGAATAAATTCTAATTAAGACACGGAAGAAAGTAAAAACCCAGAGTTTAATTGCTATTTTGTTTTTAACGTTGCTTAACACCAATTAGCATCGTTCGATTTAACGTTTTGCCTGTTAAATCGAGGATATTTTATCGATGACCAAACAGGAAAAGAATTTAGAAAAAAGGGGGAGACGAAATGGAAAAATAGGAGAGCGATGATCCATGTTGCCACTTCTAGATTTATTCCTTCAGAAAATGTTTACATCACGAACAATGTTAGTGTTTGTCAATGTGTTGCAGTCATAACAATCGCCTTACTTCCGTTCGGATAATGTTTCTTCCTTCACTACACCAACCTGTAAACTCTACACAACACCACCATATCGGTCCACTTTTGCTGGTTCGCTTGCCAATTTTACAAAAAAGGACGTTTTTAGTCTGATTCTACGTATAAGGAAACGTAAATTAACAACATCCCCCCTCTCTGTAAGCGTGTTACACTTTGTACGGGAAAAAATGAACACATTAACGATTCTTTTAAGGAGCCAAAGCTCCCTCCTTACTGAAATTTCTCTTGTTTTTTCTTTTATTGTTATTGTTGTAGGGCATCAGCAGTTGCGGGCTTTCGCTAGTGCCTTCGGTCACCGTTCGCCATATTTGGGAGACCCACTACGGGATTGGGACCATCTACGTAGGAAGGCGGCGGAACAATGGGCTGCCGACATACACCGGAGATTGCCGAACCAGGGACAAGGTAGGTAACGTGGTTTTGATGTGGCGTCACTTCCGGTGGAGACTTCACCGGCGCTCGCGGGCTATCGATGCGAATTAATCAAGGGAGCCGGCTCCACCCACCCCGAATGTAAAAATTCGGGACGATGACAAATATGCCGAATGGCACACGTGTGATTAGCGTCGGTGATTTATATCTGGACAAAACTGACGTCTTCCGCTCCGACCGCACCTCTTAATCCGTGAATCGTGAAAAGCGAATGTAGCAATCGAAGCGGGTCCCACTGCCGCTGCAATTGCCGCTTTCTTAACATCAACTTCATAAAAGAGCTCCATTCATCACGGCCAACCGGACCAACAAAATGGTTCTTGTGTCGATCAGATTTTTACTCGCGTGTCGACTCCGGCTCCTCTGATGGAATCGGCCACATTGTGGTTACACCCATCTCTCGCCTCTCTCGCTTCCGAAACGATGACATCTTTACACGCTCTTCTGACCCTCCGAAATGTTTCTTTCGCCTAATTCTACCCGAGTCTAACAACACTTTATCAGCCCCGATCAATTACTTCACTCGATCGAAAGTGCGCGCGCTCTTAAAAAAAGAAAAAAAAAACAAAAAACCCCCCTTTCTCCCTACATTTTGACCCGCCAAATCTGCGCTGAATTCCGGGGAAAATGCCCTAAAAATTCTTCAGAACAGATGAAAAAACTAGAGCAAAAAAGAAAAGAAAAAAAAAATAAATTTATCGAATGTATCCGACAGAGTTGTGTGGTGAGAGAGAGAAATGCGACATTTGGTCGTGGATGAGTCCCAAACGGATGCCCTCCTTCCCCTTCGAGAGCATAAAAATGGCCGGAGTCTGATTAGATAGCTTGATTGTGGCGTTGGACAAAGTCGAGGCCAAAGTTTTAGCCGAAATTTCTTCATTTTCGTCCAAGTTTAAGACTGTAATACTTTAATTTATCGCTCGTCCGTCGCGGGTAGAAACCCACTTTGCAACGAAATAACGGGGTGCCTCGAAGAATCTCACCGAAAGAAATCAAATTCGGGACTAATTTATTACCGTTTTAAACAATTGGCGGCCGAATTTTAACTTAAATTACGCGAATAAATGCAAGAAATTTCGAGCGCATCCTCGAATCCTTGGCCGAATTAAATTGAGAACGGCAACGAGCGCGCGTAAGTATCCAAATTCCGAAAGGCCGGGCCATTTCGTTCCCAACACGGAAAACATTTCGGAAATAAAATAAAAAAAAGAAGGAAGAAACGCGGTCTACTCGACTTTTGTAATATTTAAAGCATGCCAGAGAATGGAGGAGTGCAGCAATGACCAGCTGCCAGTCCCCAGATGGCAGATTACTGCTGACCTTCATTATTTGCTATTGTCGGGGGTTTAGCAGTCTCCTGACTCGACTAGTCGATAGAGCGGTGCCGGTGGTCAGTTAAGTCTGGTCTTGTTTTGTTAACAAAATTGCTTTCGGGTCTCATTCCGGCTTTGATTTTCTCGACTAGAGGAATTAAAAGAGCTGAATCTTTCCGGATTGTCCGGAGCCCTTCCCCCCTTTGATACGAAATTCGCAGAGGAAATTATATAAAAATCACTTTGTTCTTTTTCAATGGGAAGCGTTTAATCGTTCGACCCTCGAAACAGCGCTGTTTCGGGGTATTTTTTTTTTTTAAATTTATACCTCTTCCTATATGAAGAATACTTGTCTTTATCGTTCTGGAAGCGTATTTTAAATTCCCGATTGAAATTTGGATCGATATTATACAAATTTTATGTACGAACCCCCCAAAAAATGAGCTGGACTCCTCCATCTTCTTGTTTTAGTCTCTAATCCTCCCTTTTGTGTTTTCTGTAGAGGCGTATATTCCATACGGGGGTGGTTGAATTTGCGTTTATTATTTTCAGATCCGACTCAAGCTCTTCATCTGGCAGCTGTCGATTCGCCGTGGGGACCTTACGGATCGCATTACACAACTTACATGGCCTCTACTCAGGGTTTGCCAGCCGCTGCCTTCGCTGCATCGCACTCTATCGAAGGAAGTCCCACGTCGTCTCACGATGCCTGCCCCCAATTGTCTACAGGTCAGTAAATTCTACAGGCCATTCTCGTGGCCTTAGACCCCACTTAGCTGTTACACGCGAAGACTACTTTAATAATTGATAAAAATGGCATACTAAACATGGAACTCCTCCGTTTGCAGGCATGGACAGGAGCAATTCCAGCGTTTTCTCGTCTCTATCGGAAGGTCCACTCCCTCTGAAGGATTCGATGGTGACCACTCGATATACCAATACCGTAACGGCAGAGATATGCTTAACGGACCGTCTGTCTGACCTCAGACATGGATTAGGTGGATCGAGTTACGCTCATCAGCCCGCAACCACCACTGCAGTATCTCTTCTATCGGCCAACAACACTTCGCCCTATCTGTCTGTCAGTCACGGTCTCCTGGCGGGACCCGGATACTACGGAAGCAATAACGGAGTATATCTGACCCCTCCCATGTTGCCTCCGTCCCTCATCTATCCTCAGCTCTACGGCAGCGTGTCTCATCACTCCTTCCACCTGTTGGGTTCCTCTGCAGTAGAAACCGAGCAACCTCCCAATAGCGAAGGCGAAAGGGGTGCATCGGAGCAGCAAGAGAACAGGGAAGAGAGCAGGAAAGAAGGAAGATCACCCAGATTCACATCGACCAACGGACAATCAGATCACCTTTGGAGACCTTACTGATTCTTCTGGTTTCGTCGGCACGGCCATCTTCGTCAGTTTCCTTTTTGTATATAAATTAGGACATAAAAAAACTTTTAAATATTTATGAAACGGAATGTCGAGAGCTGCCGATCCAGGTAAACTACTTGTATTTATTTTATTTTATTTTTTCTCCTTTTTAAATTAATTTCTACGCAACTTTCCCGACTAATTTACAACCGCCATGTTTTGATAGATTTCAACACGTCTGAGGAATTATTATTATTATTATTATTATTACTTTTTCCTTTAAAATCTTGCGATTTTCTTAAAATTTAGGCCAATTATTAAGAAAAATTAATCTTAAGATAAAATTTATCCATAAATTTGCCATTTTTTTTATTGAAATTTCTACACGAATTTCTTCGGAATCGTTCCTAACTTTCGGCTTAATAAATTTCGTTAAAAATTTGGGTATTTTTAATTAATAATCTCAAAAATAATGCATAAAAAGAAAAAAAATCCCTCTTCTTGTAGGGCAACCTCCACTTTTAGTGCGGGGCAACGATGTGGGTAAACCTTCAATGTTAAACCAAAGTACTGTATTTGTCTTTCAGTTGCTGTGCAAGACGAAATTCTATCCTTGCGAAGAATTTTAAAATAAAATAAATAAATAAAAAACAATGATCTAAACACAAACGAAGATCGAAGAAGGTCTCGAAGAAGACGAAGAGCCGAGTGAAGATGGTGTACAGTGCGAAGCATAATCTTTTCTAAATGGTATTTTGTATGATATGGACCGATATAAAAAAAAGAAAATAATAAATAAAAGAGTGATTTTTCCCCTTTGACGTAGCTCGTGTTTGGTGTGACGTACACACACGCACACACACAAGCACACGCACATGCACGCGCATCTCACTTGTCTATCGTCTGCAAACAGGATTAAGTACTTAGACGTCGGCTTCTGCGTCAACAGGACTAATTCATTTTGGTTATAAATTAATAAATTAGCGTCATCGTATATGATGCCATCTTCTCTGATGAGACTTCCAAAGAAATCATCACTTAGTGTGACGTGATTGGATAAGTTCCCTATTCTTAGCCACTGTTTTCCATTATCTACTCAGTTACTTTTCCTTATTAATTGCCATTTTTTAAAAAAATATAAATATTCTACACGAAATTTATTATCTAAACCTCGTTTATCCGGCGTTAATTTTGTAAATTCTTAATTCTTTTACTAGATTTTTTTCTTTTTAAATAGATAAAGATGGGATTTAGCGCGTGAATTCGGCTTATCCGTTAACTTTGGCTCGTCTTTGATGTAAATTTATCTCGTTTTTTTTGGCCCGTGTTTTAAAATAAATTATTTTCGTTTTTTGATAGAAATTCGGCCCTTCTTTAGTTATAGATTCCACTCACTTTCAATATAAATTTGGCTCGTCTTTTCCCATTAATTTGGCCATACTTTAACATATATTCCTCGCAATTTCAACATAAATTTGGCCCATATCATAACACAATTCTTCTCATTTCCAATATACACTTGGCACATATTCCTCTCGTCTTCAACATGAATTTGGCCCATATTTTAACAGATATTTCCCTCATTTTCGACACAAATTCGGCCCATGTTTCGACGTAGATTTAGCCCAATTTCATTTCAAGCCATCGTCTCAACGTTAACACAGATTCACTCTTTAAATTCGGGACCACTTTTTAAAGTTTATGTACAGGAGGGGACGAAAATAAAGTAAGAAAGAGAAAATGCCAGGGGTTTTTTCTTTTTCCTATCCTCGACGAAGGTGGTCAAATGGTATTTTAAAGATTTGTCATTTATAAAAGGTATTAGAGTCAAGTTTTGGCTGGCAGCTGAGGAGATGGAGGGATAAGTAATACTTAGGAGTGACTAAAGGAGCCTTTCTTCACCTCCTTCACCAGAATAATGACTGTGCTCGGGCTTCTGGGTAATCGTGACCATCTCATCATCATTTGCACTATTTTCTGCACAGTTCTGATTGCACGTTTCCTTTGTGTTCATTAAATCTGCTTTTAGATGAGACCAGGAGTGGCTTCTGCTCGATCCATTTCGATTCTAATCACGAAAGAAGAGAGGGGAGAAGCGTGCAAACACACGCACACAAACTTACATTTTTAGTAAATCGAAGAAGAATTCCGGCACGACCCCCCGATTCTCTCTCTCTCTGAAGAAAAAATACACTTTACCATAAGTTTTGACCTTTCGGGGGGCGAAAATCGACTCTTTTTAGTGTGAGAAAGGGGTGTTTTTTCGTGTACGAGTGTCTGATTTCCCCCCTCGTTAGTACAGCGATTAATTTCTTTAGATTTCTGTAGAACTAATTAAGGGGGGATACGATCGATAGGAGACACACACACACACGAGAAGAGGAGGCATGGTCATCGTCCCTTCCAAGAAGATATCGATCACGTGACCGCGGCACAACCTCGGAAGCGGTAGTCCGATGAATAATAAATAGGAACGGCAGAACGCCTATCTCGGCCATTTTCTAACGAGTAGGATCGACCTAATACATAATAGAAAGTGCTGACCTACTTCATAACACGCTGTCCTTCTCCATTAATTATTGATCCCCCGAGAGACATGGCAAACGTATGACTGTTATACCTGTTCACTCCAATAAAACACACACCAACGGGTGTGTCACGTGATTGCTATCGACGGTTCTCGTCACCCAATTTCTAATTTTTGCTTAATTTAGAGACGAAGTTTGCTTTAAGGACGGTTAAAAATCCAAATTTTGCTACCAAAATCAAGGGGTGAGTCGAATTTTAAACACCAAACCGAACCGAAAAGAATGCTGACTCGAGGGGTCGAGTAACGTATTTTGCATAATTTTAACCCAAAAAACCCCACTTTTCAAGATTAAAAACCAAAATTTTGACGCCAAAATCAGGGGGGTGACTTATTTAAACGGCAATACGAACCGAAAGAAACGACGAAGCGGGGGAAAGACAGCAGGAGAAATTAAAGATCAGCCAAGGAACCGACGGTGTTTAAAATTCGTTGGGTGAAGGATTTTTATCTCCCTCTCATCATCCTCATCCGGACGAATACGACCTTACAAGATGATAGATAATGCATTAAATGGGTTTAATTACCAGAGAACGAGAAATAAATAAGAAAGTGGGTGTTAATATGCTAGATCATTACAAACATCCTGTTTTCTTGATAAGATAATCAACTAGAAGACCTTTTTCTTCGCTTAATTTATTTATAGAAAAAGATACTCGTTACATTTTTATGAAAATTTCACTTTGATATTTTAAAATATTTATTATTATTATTTGGAAAAAGTAAAAATGAAATGTTTACTTCATCCGAACACGCTGAGATTTGTGTGTAAAGTAGTTTCCTTTACCTTTCCAGCAAGGGAAAAAACTGTTTTTTGGGGGTAAAAAGTAAGATAAAATGCAAATTTCCCATTCCACTTTATTTCCAATTTCGAATTTATACAAGATTATGTGATTTTCCTCTAACAAAACATAGATTTCACGTCTCATACCTTCATGAATATGATAAACCGCAACACATTTTCAAACCTGGTGAAGAAACTATTTTCTTTCAAGAAATATAAGGAAGAAAACCTTAATTTTATACGCTTTTCTTAGTATAAATCGGCAAAAAATTCCCATATTTTTAATAAAATTCTTCCGTACAAAGAGTGAAAGAGGAGGAGGAGGAGGAGCAGCAGCAGCAGCAGCATCCGGATGAGAGCATCACTTACAAGTGGATAATCTCGAAATATAATTTATATATTAAAAATTTATAATTTACTAACCGAAATACATATTTTTTATTTGTTAAATTAAATTATAAAGATCTTAAAGAGGCAGAAAAAAAGTATTTTTATAGTGGAAAATACTTTGGAAAGTAGCGTATTCTTGTGATCAAATTGCAAAACATGCGTCTGTTTACAATGGATGAAAGTATTTTCGTTTTCTAAATCCCACAATGACACCGATTTCCATAAACATTTTCCCCACATTTTAAAGAATTTTATGGACTTTTTCCTCCTAAAAAATTGTTTCTTATGGTAATTATAACGCTCAGAAATTTAATTATTAATGATTCTGTGCGCCATAGAACACTGCGTGAAGACTTAACTCGTTGAAATTTTGGTCTGGTTTATGTTTAAAAAAAATAAAGTTTTAATGAATTCTTTAAAAAAAATTCTAAATAAAATTAATTATAATTAAGTTATTCGTCCGGTTCTTTATGAAAATTATAGATTTTTCTTGACGTTCACGCCTTATTTCGTGTGTAAAATCGCTGTTGTTTTGGAGTTTGTTGTAGCCTTATTTACACGAAAACCGATTATTTTCGGGTAGTTTAAGCCTTTTTACGTAAAAATGAGTCTTCTTTGGCTAAGATTAAGCCTTATTTTGTATAAAAATTCGCCTTTTTTGTGATGTTTGGGCCTTATTTTTACAGAAAAAAATTATTTTTGAATTTATTTAAATGTCATTTTACATAAAAATAAACTTTTTGGACATATTTAAGCTTATTTTATATTAAAAAATATGATTTTTGGCGAGTTTTCGATCTTATTTTACATAAAAAATCTCCTCTTTTTAAATAAAATAAGGATTTTAAGCCTTATTCTATTAAAAAAAATGATTTTTGGCCATTTTGATGCCTTATTTTATTTAAAAAAAAGCAATTTTCTGAAGACATTTAGACCTTAATTCACATTTAAAAAAAACGAATTTTCCGGCAACGTCGAGCCTTTTTTACAGACATTAAGGCTTACTCCACACACAGTTCAACACTTGAGAGGTATATAAGCCTTGTTTTACACGAAATAAGCACTAGAATATAAATGAAAACTTAATTTTATTGCAATTTTACAACGGAAGAAGACGATCCTTACCACGGAAAATCTGAGAGAGAAGAGCTAACATAGGAAAACGTGGCATAAAAATAAGGGGAAAAATAATATTTAATTACATTAAATCTATGCAAAAATACATAAAAACAAGAAAATAATTAAATGAAAAATAAAATTTAAAAAAATATGGAGGAAAACAGGCAAATCACGTAGATTAATTTTGTGTAGATTTATAAACTTGTCTAGTAATAAATTACGTGAGATGAAAATCATTTCGTGCATTATTATATAAATAAATCTTTTCCATTGATTTATTCTTTGTTAATGAATTTAAAAATATATATATTTTTTATCGATATTCCTTATTTAAAATAAAAATAAAAATAATAATAATAATATCATAATTCCGTATCAATCATTTAAAACTTCCTTTTTTTTACGGATGTAATGCATATTTTACGCAAGTTTTTGACTTTTTACAGGCATTTACGCCCCGTTTTTTGCTTAAATTTATACATTTTACATAAATTTAAGCCTTATTTTTACATAAATATGTGCCTGTTGAGCTTTATCTAGCGTAAAAAAAAGATTTTATTGGCGTTATTGAGGCTCCGTTATATATAGAAATATCGCCTGTTTTGGAGATTCTAAGAGCGTATTGCATATAAAATTTGACTTTTTGGGTCATTTAAGCCTAATTTTGACGTAAAAATTGTATTTTTGGGGTATATTTCAGCCTTATTTTACGTAAAAACGGTTATCATGAAGAAGGTTTGTTTTATACAGAAACATTACGTCTTTTTG